GACCATAGACACACAGTGACAGCGAAAGCAAAGTTGGAGGTCATCGCTAGTAGGTTGGAGGCCAGGGTACCAAGTTGGGGGCCAGCGCTACCAGGTTACAAAGCACAAGAAAACCACAAGACAGCCAAAGTTGGAGGTCCTGGCTAGTGGGTAGAGGCCAGGGTACCAAGTTGGAGGCCAGTGCTACAAGGTAACAAGAAGCACAAAAGTACAAGAAGCACAAGACAGCAAAACAGCGAGTTGGGGGTCAATCTAGTGGGTAGAAGCCAAAGTTCAAGTTAAAGAACCCCTTACAAAGTTTGGAGGCCCACCTGTAAACCTGTAGAGTAGCCTTAGAGGAAAACAGAAGGAAAGGCACCGACACACAAGTGTGTCGAGTACCATTTCCTCCTGTTTTCCTAAATAGTGGAACAGGTACGTAGTTCTGGCGTCCCAGAACTATATCACTGTGCGACAGATGCGTCTTTGTTGGCTGGAGACATCTGAAGCACACTCCAGCCCCCTGTTCCAAACCTTAAGGTTCCCTTTGATTCCAAGGGTTACACACACACGCCTCCCCGAAGGGAGGCATGTGTGACCTCCATCCTGCCCGGAAAGGAGGTAGGCACATGTGCACGCAAAAGGGACAGATGAAAATGAGAAGGACAAGACAGACAAAGGTGTGTGTGTTTGCCGATGAAAAGGATCCAAGTGAAGAGGGACAACCGATGAGCCAAACCTCATTGTAACGAACCTGGGCCACCTGAACCTCGCTGTAAGTAGAGTACGCGTGCGTGTATGTGTACAAACTAAGGTCCGGACGATAGTGCGCGCAAGAGAAAGAAAGGATGAGGATGAAAAGACATGAAGACAGAAGGACATGAAAGGAAAGAAGGAAAAAATGTCTGTGGGGCGGATGAAAGGGGAACCAAATGAAAGGGGGCAAACCGATGACAGTCCAAACCTCATTGAGAAACCTGTTGCAAAAGCCTAGTTTGCTTGTAAATACGCCACGCGCGAGGAAAGAGGGGGGGAGGGGAGGAGGAAAAGAGAAGGAGGGAGAGAAGGAAGCAAAGGTGTTCCCAGCTACGGCGCAAGCGTCCAAGGACACACCAAAAAGGAAGGGCTCCCAGCTATGACGAAAGCATCCAGGGACGCCCAAGGAAGAGGGTGAAGAGAGGAAAAAGAGAAGGAAAGAAAGAGAGAGGGAGAGAAAGGGAGAGGAGAGAAAGGAAGGTGTTCCCAGCTACGAACAATCGTCCAGGGACACACCAAAGAAAGAAAGGGGAGATCCTGAGTATTACATTCAGGAAAACCCCAGAAAGCAAAGAGAGAAAGGGGGAGGGAAGGGGGAGAAGGGGGGCTAAGTTCTCCACAGGTTCCAATGAACCTTACACTGGCTTTGACCGCTGTGGTCACCTTGTGCCCTGCCGAAATGGCTGGCTGCTTTGACCGCTGCGGTCACGTAAAGGCATGAGCCAACTTGGAATTCCAAAGATGAGACAAAAATCATCGTACGTTCGGCCTAGGCCACCTTCGCCCGCTGTGGGCACTTACGTTTCCAAAGCAAGGGAAACAGCGACAAACCCCCGTTCAACGGGTCCACGGGAGGCACTCTGCGGGCTCATCCCGGGTTGGCACGAGGCCAAACACACTTATGGATATGCATACTGAACTGAAAGCGGTGCCACACGCCGGCCTAGGGTTCCAATTCCTAAGGGTACAGGTAAGGAAACCTAAATAGTAGGTTAAAGGCCAACGGTTTGGGTTGGAGGTCGACGCGAGGCTGTTGGGGCCAAGACCTAAGGTTGGAGGCCATCGCTAGTAGGCGGTGGGCCATAGACGCAAAGTGACAGCAAATAGTAGGTTAAAGGCCAGCGGTTTTGGTTGGAGGTCAACGCGAGGCTGTTGGGGCGAAGACCTAAGGTTGGAGGCCATCGCTAGTAGGCGGTGGACCATAGACACACAGTGACAGCGAAAGCAAAGTTGGAGGTCATCGCAGGTTGGAGGCCAGGGTACCAAGTTGGGGGCCAGCGCTACCAGGTTACAAAGCACAAGAAAACCACAAGACAGCCAAAGTTGGAGGTCCTGGCTAGTGGGTAGAGGCCAGGGTACCAAGTTGGAGGCCAGTGCTACAAGGTAACAAGAAGCACAAAAGTACAAGAAGCACAAGACAGCAAAACAGCGAGTTGGGGGTCAATCTGGTGGGTAGAGGCCAAAGTTCAAGTTAAAGAACCCCTTACAAAGTTTGGAGGCCTACCTGTAAACCTGACACACAAGTGTGTCGAGTACCATTTCCTCCTGTTTTCCTAAATAGTGGAACAGGTACGTAGTTCTGGCGTCCCAGAACTATATCACTGTGCGACAGATGCGTCTTCGTTGGCTGGAGACATCTGAAGCACACTCCAGCCCCCTGTTCCAAACCTTAAGGTTCCCTTTGATTCCAAGGGTTACACACACACACACCCACCCGCCCGCCCGCATCTGTTCTCGTCGAGTAGCTTTTCTGGCAGCCCTCTGCTCCGCTGGAGTGGTGTCCAAGCTCAAAGTATAAGCAGTCCTCGTGACATGAGGCCCGAAGGCCTCTGCTGTATTCACAAATCCAACACATTTTCCCAATGCATTTTCCAAAGTCACTTGAGCCCCAAATGTCCAGAAGCGGGCCTATCTCGCGCCCGTCCAGCCAGTGGAGGTAGATGATTGACATCCAGAGGAACTAGATTGACATCTCAATCAAAAATACTTGCCAGGGCCCTCCCAGTGACCTTTTGAGATCCCAGAATTAGGTCTTGAAAAGGTCACATTGGCATAACCTGAAGTTCGGTCACTGAAGTTGGGTCCTGGTGCTGGTGTAAGTTCCTAAGCCGACCATTTTGGATGTTGCAGAATCACCACAGCACCCAAAGCACCGAGGTCGGCGAAACTCCTTTGGATTCATCCGGATTCCTCCCCTTAGCCGCGATCTGCGGAGCGCGGGATCGCGTAGCTGTTTCGATCCTGGGCGATCCGGCCCAGAGAATGGGGTGCTCTTCAAAGGCTTTCACGAACCAATGAGGCCCAAGACGAACCAACCAGGTTCCGAAAAAGAAGGGGCAGGGCCCACAAGATGCAGGGCCCACTTGTGGCAGGGCAAATGCCCAGTGGTGGTGTCCCAACACAACTCGCTTATTATAAGGTAGAGGTACAGTTAGGCCTAGCCTTTCACAGGGTCTTCTCAAACCTACAAGCAAGCACTTGGGAAGGCTTTACCTTGTGCTGTTTCTTGGAAGGCCTCTACGACGTCAAGAGGCACAACTGCCAAATGCTTTGTGACAGGCATCGAATGAACCGACTTCTTTGATCCAAGGATCCCACTCCACGACATGTTGAAAAGCGGAGTTGAGGCACTCGTCATGCATCCTCAGCTTTACAAAAATGCGGCCTAACATGTTTACAAAGCCTTTCGAAAGCAACACCAAACTCCCACCATCTACAGTGGTTTCAGAGTAGATGGCACAGACCCCATGAGGTCCTTTAGATGGGGGTCCATATAAACCACCTACCGGGGTCTGTGCCATCTATTCTCACTCCACCATACATATATATATATATATATGTTTTCTTCCCCCTGAGAAGACCAAAGGCGTTGGACCACCACAGGCAAAAACACCCGACCCTGAAGCCCTGCTTTGGTCACGTAATAAAACACCCACCGCTGCCATCGCCTCCCCTCAACGGCCACAAAGGTGCATGTTTTCTCCAAGCCCCGATAAGGTTTAATTTTAGTGTTCGCTTCAGCAGCAAAAACTCGCGTTTTGTGGTGACGCAAACGCCGAGTGTTCTTGCGAGCACTCAGCTCTACTAAGGTTCAACCCAGAAGCACCAAAACCTTCCAAACCAAACAGTTGACCCGGTGGGACCATGTTTGGTGACCAAGTGGGACCATTCTTTGGATCTTCAAGTCCATCCAAGCCTCAAAATCTTCAGCCAATCAGTGGACTCCCATCTATCCCCCTCTCTCCCATCTCGGGGCTGAGACACATGACCGCCAAAGCCTTCAGAGTCAAAGACATGGCTGGGATGCCGGCATCGCCCAGGTCCGCACGAGAAGACTCATCGGTCCAGCCTGGAGGCGCCCTTCACGGGGTCGGACTGCCGGCGACCCCAACTACAAATACCGCAAATCCCCTTAAGCAAACGACGCCAAGAACCATTGCACTTTTAAACATATGCACCAGTTTGGGCATCACCACCTGTCTTGGAACCGATGCTCATTTTTGGGCAAGGGCGGTCTTGTGGGGAACCATATGGCAGTGACCTGTTGGTGTTGGCCAGTGGTGGTTGATCAAAATTCTTTCATGATGACATGACCATGCTTCGCAAACCTCATCGCGGATGTTTCGCGGACGGTTGGGATTTTTCGCATCTACAAGGTCGTCATATACATATATATTACATATAACATGCTACAAAGCCCTTACACGATCTTACCACGCCCCTTTTGATCGGGCCGCCCACCTCTCAGTTGGCGAAGGGGTCGTAGAGAGTCGCTCGGAAGCTCGAACCTGCCCACGAAAATGGCTTGCCTTGGTGCCATTTTTTGCCCTCCAAGAGAGGTCTAGTGACCCGCAAAATAAGAGCCCTCATGAGTGTAATGATGACATGATGGCTTCATGTCGGTGTTTCATTGTTCTTGTCAGGTGTTCTTGGTCTCTGGCACGCTAGTTTCCATCTCATCCAAAACAGGTTGGAGGTAAAGGTAGGTAGGTGGGAGGGTGTCGCTTCTCATCGTTCAACAGGCCAAAGTTCTCGGCAAGTGCTTCTGGGTCACACGGTCTTTTTGCCCTTCTCCCTGGGCTTTCTCCACATTCTAAAGCCTCTCACTCCAAGGCCTTCCACCCTCTCAAACATTTTCCTCCATCCACTGATCTGGAAACAAAACATATCCATCGGGTTTTACTAAGGCTGTGGGTGGGTGGGTGGGTGGGTTGGTTGAAGAGTTCTGCAGAGTCAAATTCAGAGTCAAATTCTAATAAATATATACAGTATACATATATAATGTATGGTGGATCTGTTGGTCATTTTTGCCTAAGAGAGACTCATCAGTGATGAATGCCTGCACTTGGGTCTGGTCACCAATCCCTCCACAATCCTCAGAGTCAAACTTTGGCTATGGATGCATGTGCGAAAAGGACATAATGTTGGGTATCATTGGATGATGGTTGGCAAAGGCCTTGTTCAAACATAGTGATAATTGTCCACCAGGTGCAGTACTGTTCTGGGACACCCCCAAAGGATGCAGCTTTTGCCCCACACCTTCCACCCTATCCCAGTGCCTGGCTAAATCACCTTGGTGCCGAAGGTGCTGGTGCCGGTGCTGGTGCTGCGGTCCCCTCATTTTGGTTCAGGCCTTTGGAAAACAGGGAGGTGGTTGCTTTCCAGACAGACCCAACATTCTGAGGATCGATATTCCTGGCACTGATCAGTGCGCCCTGGTATTCTCGACACCCCAAGGACTACATATCCAGTGGAAATGCCAGGCACAGTGCAGCCAGCATACGATCCACTGAGATTCATCCTGTGTTCTTGGGTCCGTCACTACATCTCCTTTTCTTATCAGCACCGTGCCCATTCTTAATTACAGGCACTTATGTTAAGATCAAAAATGAACGCGCGGCTATTCTTCACAGGATCGATATTCGTGGCACTAATCAGTGCGCCCTGGTATTCTCGACGCCCAAAGGACCACATTTCACCTTGCTACTCTGGCCAGTGGAAATGCCAGGCCGAGGGCACAGCAGCCAGCATACGATCTTATCAGCTCCGTGGAGGGGAGGGGTGGGGCTGCAGAATTCTCGTTGGTTGCGGCTGGGAGCGTTGGAATCTGTTGAATTTCAGGCCCCATATGTGTGGGGAATGAAGAGGAAATGGATCTGGGCCTAGCAGCAGTACGGTCCAACACTCTGCTGAAGGATCTTTCTCATAAACTTTCAGGTGTTGGTCAAGGGTTGTAAACATGTCATGAGGTTTGATAGCAATTCTGTGGGGCTAATCTGCCACTTCACGATGACCTTTGATTCATGTATGCAACCAACCGATATATGGCTTTCTGGTGGAGCTATCGTACCACAAACTTGAACTCATTGAGCACTTGTCTCAAAGGGCCTGTGGCTATAGTTTCAGTGGTTTCCTTGAATCCAACCTTCAATTGTTAGAAGTCAAGAGCCATGTATCTTTGCCATGCCCCAACGGTCTTTTCCTTTGAAACACACGTGAAACCGCCCTCTTCATTCTGGTTGTGTCAACATGAAGTTCCAAACATCTCAACGCGCCTCACGAGACCGAGACGGTCACATCACACACTGAGTTTGAACCATAGCAACAGAGGTGGACCCGTAGTTCGCCTATCCCAGGCCAGGGTACCCAGGTGACGGCTCCTATTTACGGTCACTGGCTACCTCTCTTGGTATGTTCATTCAGAAACTGCTTCCGTACTGCCGTGGGTTGGAGCAAGAGAGTGGGCCGCCCCTCTACAAGCCACAGCTGCATCTCATGACTGTTTTCATGACCAAGTAGCGCAGGACTTTCCAGAGTTCATTGAAGCCTGGACCCTCACAGTCCAAGTGCTCTAGGGTTGTGAACTTGGCCTTGGTATGTTGCATCTGACTGAGACAGTTTTCTTGAAAGCCCCAAAAGCAGTCATCGGGATGTGTGTCTTAGAAGGAGAGGATCCTTAACATCCTTGGACAAGTCAGAAGGCAAATGAGAACCCAAAGCAAAGTCGTGACCACTCAATTCACATTCCTGCGAGTCATGCAGCACAAAAGTCGACAACATCTCTGGCTTTGTTGGGCGTGCCAGCTCATGGCAGCGTTTTGGATGAACATGTGCAAAAGTCTTGTTGTGCCCTGCGGCCTATTTGGATGTTAACGACTTCTGGTTGTGTGCGCCCTTTGGCACAACACTCCAGGAAATGCTACCTGCAAGTAAACATGCCCTTTTCCCTGTGATCGGCACTCTAAAATCCCAAAAAAAGATCCTCCAAGAAATCCCCTCAGGTCCAAGAATCCCATCCAAGTCGCATCAAAACCAAGCGCGCTCTCTCTCTCTCTCTCTGTTTCTCCTTCTTCTTCTTCATCACTCCGAGGGACCTCAGTTCCAGAGACTTGGACCGCGAGCTCCTTCACCCGCTCCTTGGCATCTTGGAAGATGACTTCTCGCCTTGGCCGCCGGTCGCCGAGGCAGCCGAAGGAGCTGCGGTCGCCCTCCCGGAGTGGCGGTTGTGCGAGAGGGAGGATGTGGTGCGACGTGCAACCAAGAGAAGGAACCAAGAGAAGTGAAGTGATCGTAAATAGGACCCGGTCCACCGGTCCGGGCCCCTTTTATGGGATAGTTGAACCAGGGTTCTTTAACCTTTGCTTCGGGACTCCATGAGTCAATGCAGCTGGACTGAAGAAACAACACTTAAAGGACCAGCTCGTCCAAAGGTCCATGCCGAGGGCTTTTTTTCTTCTCTAGGCTCCTCTGGGCATCAAGCCTTCAGAATCTGTTCAAAATCTAGCTTTTCCAATCTAAATTTTGGGGCACCTACAGCTTTTCCAACATGTGATCGATGATCGACGTGATTGTTCTGTTTTCTCAGCTTTCGCTTCGCACTGTGCCATTCCCAAAGAGAAACACATGGTTCCCGTTGGGATTGTCCTGGGCAAGTGCTGACAGATAGCAAAGGGTGCCCGGCGCGTGCCGTCAGCAGTCCGCCTTCGACTTCAGGAGAGGGGCTGAGCGTCTTCGGATGGGGCCAGGTTTTTGGAAGACTTTTGGACTGGTTGGGATTGGTTGATGTTTTTCGTGATCCCAAACATAGAAGAGTCCATATATTATGGATTGGACGCTTCTGTTTTTTGGAGGGCCACCCGAAGCATCTCGTTTTTGTCATCTCTGGAGTCTGTGGATTCTGATCGTCTGGCCCCCCCCCAGACGGTCTTGTCCTTGTTGCAAAGTTCATCTCCAAGGTCTCACACTCAGCTCCCAACCAACAATCAGGCCCACACCAGCGCGCATGCCATGCACGGCCGAGAGCGAGCTTCATTCTGGCGCTGTCCCCTACCTGCCCAGACGGTGGACACCTTGGACTTTTGGACCTCGACCTGGAAAGTGGCGGTTTCCATTGTATCATGTCAAATGCTCCTTCTTCAACAAGCATGATGTGGTGAGAGCAAATCCAGAGTTAACGCAGTGCCCGTGGTAGCATGCTCCACAAAAGCATGTACAAACGCAAGGTTGCTTTCTTCCTTCCTCCTCCTGAGCCAGTAGAATCTTTTGCAATGGACCTGGCCTTCGAGTGATCTCAAGAATGGCCAGTGAATCCAGCTGGCAAAGCTCTTCATTTTAGAAACATTCTTTGCTCGTTTGATGCTTGTCTGCTCCACGAACAACCCCGACGTACCGGCTGGAGCGGTTCAATGGTCAACAGCCTTTGATTGGTTGACATCTTGCTGTCTGCCCTTGACTCCAGCGGCATGGCCAGTCTGCGCTCAGTTTGGGCTCCTGAACACTGAGGGCCTTTGTCAACCACTTACTGCCTTGCTTGGGCTTTTGGCTGCCGGATCCGCCGGATCCGCTGAAGCAAAACAACATCATTGGCTTGGGCTCTCTTCGCATTCCCAACCTCAGCACCGGACCCTTTCGACACCCCAACCCTCGTCTCATCGCGCATTCTCCGTCAGTCTGCAGCCTCTCTCGGCCGTGGCCGTTGATCGGGTCCCATGAGGCGGTTTTTACCTTCCCATGGGAGTTCCACGAGGTTGACGTCTTGATGTCTCGGTTTCCGAGACACCAATGCAAACTGTCTATCTTCATGCTCCAAGACCCCAAAGGCTGCGTGTTTTTCTGAAAGAAGCCGGAGCTTCATTGAGCTCCTTAGCAATGTTAGAGCTCCTTAGCAATCCAGGCCTGCTTCAGCAGAAGTGAAATTGCTTCTTGGGTCATTGGAGCTTGAAGACAAAAGGCCAAAGCACCCGCTTGACCCAGGCGAAAATGATAGACTTGACATGGAGGCTAACAAGTCGAGGTCTGAGAATGCCTTCACCTTGGGAAGCTTTCTGTCTTTCAACTCATAGCATAAGTGGAGTGAGAGAAAATGGAAGGAAGGAACCCATGATGCCAATTGTCGACTCGGGCTTGTTTCATTAAATTCGGTGGGGCTGTCTCACTTTTTCTTCACCTCCATGTCTTGTGCCAAATGGATCTCAGTGACGCCGATTGCGCACTGAGATCAACGAACAACGGCGGGTCTCGCCGTCTCACCTCATTGCGCTGCTTAAAAGTTTCGCATCCCTTCTCATCAGTCTTGCCTGGTTCTCTTTAGACACCCCAGGCTTCTGCATTGGTAAGATATGCTTCCAGCCACTGTTGCCTCTTCAGTAGCTCCGACACTCGATGTGACACACTCATCAAATCCGTCTCAACCTGGCCGGTGCTTTGTGCAAGTCGCCGCTAAGGATCTGATGTTCTGTTAACATGCACTCCCTTCCCTTGGTCGATGTCGGGCAGGGAATTGGGGTGTCAACATCTGGTATGTATTTGGAAGACGGGTGTTTGTTGTAAGGAGCAAGGAAACATGACTTTGCCCAAAACGGATGTTGCGCTCCAGAACGGACCACGAAACACGTCACTGGATCTTTTTTTGGGGTGGGACGTCACGGCTGTTTGGTTGGTCCATCCATCTGGACAGATCCCCTTACATCTGTTCGGGTCCCCCCACGAGGTTGGTGTGCTCTCTAAACAAAGACCCAATGAACACCGAGAGGGCGCTCTACGATCTGCCCCCGATTTCGGAAAACCGTCCCAGTTGGCCGGGAAGGTGAACTCTTCGATTCCGCTCTCCATGCGCAACCACGTCTTGGGGAGGTCCCACTTGGGAGCACCGTCCGCTCGGAAGGAGGCCGCCCCCCACGCGGTCACCACGGGTCGAGGCGTCTCGTCACCGGCCGGAAGCTTTCTCGGGGGCACCTCTTGAATGCGAAGCCAATTGGCGGAGGTCATCTGAAGCTGGATCTGTGCCCTCTTTCCGATCGGTTGCGGTACGTCCACCTTGCAACGACTGATGCAAGTCTGGAAGACGAAGTTGTTCCTGGGAAGCAGGGCTTCGGCAACTTCAAAGCCGTGTCCTGGAAAACATAACTTCCAGAAAAATCATTGGGATGTTTAGCCTGAAAGGCTCTTGCATGAAAAGATTGCTTGAATTTGCTTGATATTCTCCACTCATGAAAGTGCTCGCGAGAAAGTTGAATTAACACCACTGTCAAACACTTGGGTCCTACCGCACCCTTGACTTGTGCTATACCACCCCACCCCGTCTGCATTTGTGGCACTTGTGCGGTCGAGCTTCTGCACTGCAGCCGCAAATTCCGCCAGATCTGAGAGATCAATCCAAATCTGCATGTTCGGCACCTTTAGAGACAAAACCAAGCTCGGTGAGCCAAGGTGTGGCCCAAAAAGACTCTGCCTCTCTCGCTCTCGCTCACTCTCTCTCCCCCTTCTCTCCCCCACTTTTCGGTGAGCCAAAACCTTGGAAGCCCCCGCCGCCCTCGGGTGGTGGGACGGCAGGTTGGCCGACCCCGCCGATCCGGCCAGGTGTTGGCAGGGTGTGGGGTTTTTTGGGAGAAACCCTTCGACCCCAAAACCAGGCTAAAGTGGGAAGAAGAACACATTAACTAAATCCCAGAGGTTGGAGGGTCCAATACACATCCAGTCACCAGTGGATTCCTCACCCCAAAATATGCGGCTTCCATATCTGTTCCCTGACTCACACATCACCGGCCTCTTTCAGGATCACCTGCAAATGAGCCAGCAAATCCACTAGTACCTCTTGCAGTGCCGGACCAAACCGAACGGAAAGGAACCGAACGCGCTCACAGAACTGATGTCCAAAAGCGCGGTTTTAAACGTCTTTCTGGGTCAATCGAATTCGTCCATAAATCATGACTGTCGTGGTGTGTGTGTGTGTGCGGTGCGCGCGCTCAAGTGATTTCAAATCGTGACGCACACCCACACACAGATATATATATATATATAATGACTCATATGACAGAATACAGCGACGACGCCTTTCTTCGGCGCGCAGCAGCCGCACAGCTCAACACAGCGGGCCTCCAAAAGGACTGTCAGGCCAACGGTGGGATTTGCCATGGACTTCTGGATGCAATCCTTAGCTTTCGTGGCCTTTCCTACTGGCCTGAAGAAAGAAAGTTAAAACATAGTCAAAGCAAGAATGGACTCCTTGGTTCCTGCACCAAAGGATAGACAGCCAAAGAGGGGCAAAAGAGGATGACCCTCAACCGGCTTGCCCCTCCCATCTCCTCAAGACTTCGTTCCGGATGAAGTTGCCTGACCCAAACACCTCCCACTCCCATCTTCCGCTCAAAAAGAAAGGCGAACCGATCCAAACCGATTCAAAGGACCGCCTGGTTGATCCAAGTCGCTGGGAGGAAAATGAAGATCATCGCCTGTCGGGTGATGCCATCAGCTAGAAGATGACTCACCAAGGCACCCCTCTGCTTGTTGCTCAAGCCCGACCAAGCAGTTTGCCTCAGGTGAAAGCATTTTGCTTAATCCGGTGGAAGCCAGCTGGAAGCAAGCTGGAAGCAAGCGAAGAAGGAGGTCACAGGTCACGTGGGGGCGTCACGGTGGGGGGGACATCCGTCGATTGATTCGGTGGAGAAAGGCTTGACGAAGCATTTGTGGCAGGTTTTGGTTGCCCGGTTTAGCTGCCGGGTGGGAGGGACATCATGTCGGTTGTGAAGCTCATCGTGTCGGTTGTGCAGCTGGGCCGGAGTGCATTGGGAGAGTGTTTGAACATGACATTCAAACGAGCAAGCGAAAAGAAGAACCGGTCCATCTATGACCGGGCCTACACCTAAGCAAATGGACCATTCTAGGCGAATATAAATATATATATATATATGACTGAGTGCACTGGTCCTCGCACTGTTTTCCATCTGCCAGCCTTGTCAGAACTGTCTCAAGTCAAAATGAAACGGTGGCCACAAAGTAAGGACATGAAGAGCTGGATGACGCCCAAGTGCAAATGCTCAAGAGAACATGCCACAGTCAGCCAATCAAATGCCCTCGCACCACTTTCCAGAAAGGACCGGACGCGGCCGAAGGCTGAGTCGAGTACTCAGCTGGAGCTAGGCGCCGCCAGGAAAACTAGGACCAGGGAGCAAAACGGGGTAGAGCTCCGCTGCTCGCTCAATGCGCAGTCGACTGTCAAAAGGCAACTCGCCGAAAACTGAAAGTGCTCCTACTTCTTGAAGGTAGTGTGAAAAAGTTTGCAATGATTTCAACCTCATTCTCCATAATATCTTGGCAATGTCTTCATCAGCTCGATACGCAGTGATAGCGCCACCACTGCGCATGGAAGCCGGAGTCAGGCCCAGGGTCTTTGGAACCCCCAAAGCAGCCAGAATGGCGTCCCAACGTCGCCGAAAGGATGATGGTGACCCGGCATACAGAGGTTCGCCAGCTTGCAGCCCACTGAAAACGCTATCCAATGCGGCCACAACTGATGCAGAAGTGATCTTAGCATGTTGCTGTTCGTATACAAGGTCTCTGGGTAGTAGAAGGTCGAACCTCGTGGCTCCAAGAGGCTCGCCCGGCCTGCAGATTCCAAAATACGAAAGCAGCATAATACCCAGAAAGCGCCGCCAGCCCCAGAGAGAAGCAATGGATACCATGGCTCGGAACAGGACTAGTGGCAGGGGGGTGCGGTGTCTAACGGGTTCCAGGCTTTCCCATCGAACAACCAACTGCCATGCTCTGCTCATGAAAGGCCGGAAGTCTGGTTGCCATCGTTGCACTGCCGTCAACAAATGCCTGTACAGGTAAAGCGAAGCCCCTTCGGCAAACAAATCCCGGCCGAAGGCTTCTAAGAGCTCAACCAACGTCTGAGGGCAAACGATCAGTTGTTCGAAAGTGCTAACTTGAAGAGATCTAAGGCACCACGCTCGAAATCTTTCCCAAACTCGAGAACCGATCAGTTCAGTCCCGGCCTCTACAAGTGTGGCATTGTCAAGCAAATGAACGGATCTGCTCGACTGCCTGGGATACCTCGGACCAGGCTTTGATACCTCTCCAATTCGCCCAATCGTTCCACAAATCGACGCCAGGTTGATGTGCTTTCGATCAGGTCGCAACCCAGCATCAATGAGAAGAGCTAAGGAGATCCACTTGCAAAGAATATTTGGGTAAGTCTGAGCAACTCGTGTCCAACAAGCTTTATGGATTCGAGACCAGCCTACCAACTTCCGATGTTCATGATCCCGCAGACAAAACAGGCTTTGCCCTCGAAGATGACAATTCGTCAGAAAACGAGTCCTCTTCCTCCAAGGGCAGTTGCACCTGCAATAGTCCAAACGAAAAAGATTCTCTGGGTTTTGGGATCCCAGCTCAATCCAAGCATCAAGCAGCCAAAGGAAGGAGCCATCTGGATTTTCAACCCAGTAAAGTAAATCATGTTCACACGCAACCGAAATCAAGTCTGCTAGCCAATCGGCGTGATCATTCCCTTCTGAGACCGCCTTGAACATTCTGGCAGTCAGATCATGGAGGCCCCTCGGGCTGGCCCTGCTTCGGATAGGTTCGAAAAGGACCTACAGAAAATGGCCGCACCCATTGCAAAGAAAACTTCAAGCTCAATCAGGCGCCTGATCATCGTTCGAAGCGACTGAGCGGACAAGTCTTGGTTGTCCCCATCTTCGAGCTCGAAGGTGAGGGCCCAGACAGAGCCCTCCTCTACAATACGCCTGGCAACACCTTTCTTCCCAGAATACAAGTCTAAATAACCTTTCGTAGGAGGAAGGCTGTCTACCGGCCTCCAATCTAAAGGAACCTTCCAGGCTTGAGGAAAAATCAACTGACTTGCATCGAACTGGCTCAGCAGATTAGCAACTTCATCGGGCCACGAAAACTCATGGAGCGAGGTCGATGGGAAACAAAATTCTTGGCTACCTCTTGAAGGCTAGAGGTAGGGAATCCTCGCTACGAAGCTCATCAAAATCCGGCAAACCTGAAAGTTCAAACGGGTCTGCACAAAAAGAAACAAGGAACTCGTCTAGCCGACAACATCTTTCAGGGGTACTGAGAGAGGAATGCTCTTTTAGCCATTCTGGCAAATCCCGAGACGGACGGCGAACCGACTTGCCTCGGGTCGGATCATCTGCCACATTGACATCGGTGGGAACGTACCCGGCATCCGAAATCAACCCACATCCAAGGTGAATAGGTAAGCTTTGCTGAAGGACTTGGTTCAGCCCCGAAATGGAGGTACATAGTTCGATTTGGAAACCCAGCGAACACTGACTCGGCTTCGGCACGAACCATGCCTTGCAGCTCTCCAATGTTAATATGCAGGCCATCCCGACTCTTCTCACGAAGAACCTCTTCGAATTGTAAACCTGTCACCAACAACTGATGAAGAGGATGAGCATGGAAAGTGTCACCTCCAGGAAGCTCGTCCGCAGTCTGAAGCTCGCCATGGACTCTATCGAGGGCTCTTGCAGGAGAAAGTAACTTCACCCAGGTATTCTTTCTGAGTTTGTGTCGATGCACCTCTCCCACAATCCAGGAAGGAAGCCGAGCTTTGCAGACGGCAAGGCCCCACGATGAGGCATCAGAAGCATATACGTCGCTTGCGTTCGCAGCTTTCAAGAAAGTGACAGCAAGCGGCGCCAAAGCTACAATGAGGATGAGCTCGGACAACAACTCGTCTGACAACCGAAGAACAGTTCTGGAATTCTCTGAACTCTGTAAAGCCGCATAGCAAACATTGAGCAAGGACAGCAGCCGCCTCTTGTACAAGAAAACTGAGGTCCACGACCCAATGAGTACATTCAGCAGTGAAATGGTGCACACGCCCAACTTAATCACTCCAGTGGTGGCAAACAGCAGAGGGACCACGCGCTTCAGGTTCGCTCGAACCACTCCTGAGACGCCATCCACGTGCGCCCCCCAAAACTCGGCCTCGTCCTCCAATCGGAAAGTCTTCCCAGGGTGAGGAATCAATCCCAGTGCGGTGTATTTAGCCAGAGCAGCATCCAGCTTATGACCGCTTTGCATGGAGGGATCTTCTGCCGAAAGACCTGCTGCAACTATTTCAAAGAGCACGAGGTCATCGATGACGACCCCTAACATGCTGGGCGACCTGGGCGGAGGCAAAGTCATGCCAACAAGCTCCTCCTTGTTCACCAGGCCGGATTGCACCAAAATGCCGAGGTGGGCTGTCTGCGCGAGTTCAACAGCGCAGGTGTCGCCCATCGCTAACGTCTTCAGGCCAAACAAAAGAGGTCCGGCGCCCTCCAACTTCCTGTCATAGCACCGGAAAGCTCGAATGTCAGAAGCGAAAAACGTGCCAATCAAAGAATTTCTCACAACACGCTCTGGGGTCGCAGAAAAACTGTAGTAGAATTCTCGCAGGTCGGTGCCCGACAGCAGCATTCGCTCATCTGAAGCCAGCGCTGGATCTCCAGAAGGTTCGAAGACGCTCCCATAGAGTTGATCCACCGGTTAGGTGGTGTCTCCAGTGTATTGAAAGGTCTGCTGTCGAAGATCAACCTGTCCTTATCTGAATCCTTAGTCACTGCGAACAAGCCAGCCTGATAGCCCGAGTAAGCTTCCTTAGCTCTGATGACTCCCAACCTCCCTGTTTGGTCCAGCTTTTTTCAGCAGAGCCCACTTCTCGGACTCAGAGGCAAAGATCTTCACTGGAGGGGGGGCCTCAAAGCTCTGCTCAGGGGTTAAAGCTGATTGGATTGGTCGGTTGAAAATCTTCTCTCCTCTCTCATCCAAAAAAGGGGTTGGATCGAACGAAGGCTCCCCACGGAAATCTATTCTTGAGGCCTCGATGGGCCGAGCAACCTGCAGCTCCTCCCCAGGTAAAGTCCCGCAAACCAGAATTGTCAGCTAAACTCTGTTCAAACACCGAAAAGATCTGTCCTTCAAAAACACTGAGTTTCTCCAGCGCCTTCTCGATGTCTTCCACTTTTGCAGCCGATCTTCCCATTGCTGTTGAGTCGACCGGAGCACAACGGATCCACGCCAAACAAGCAGATTCCATGCATCGGACCACACGCCACTGCAGACGGTTCAAAGAGGAAGGGATCACGATGTCAAGAGGACAAGTCACAGGCCTGTTTAAATAGACCCAGTCCAGAGCAGCAACACAAAGGTTCAAGCCCCTCTGCAACGCTCTCGTCTCGCAATCATCTCCAGTCTCCAGTAAAGCTCCCGGAAAAGGGAGCGGCATGGGCCACAATTTGGCGGTACTCTTCAACTGAGAAGAAGTAGCTGGTCTTCGATGGAAAGAACGCAAAAACTTTGAAAAGCTGCCTCCCAACTTTCGCAAAAACCGAAAGGATGAATTGAACCAGGTCCTCGGGCAAACGGTCGTCGCCTTTGAGCCTGGCACATGCCGAGCAGCATCGTCTCGGCAACCATGCACAAAACAGCGAGCCGGGGACTCGGCCGGCTCGGAGCTTTCTGGATCATTCAATTGCTGCTGCCCGCAGGAGGATGATTGCTCTCCTCCTGCGTCTCTCCCTTTCCTTTGCCCTTGTTTTTCGCTTTCGGCTTCGGCTTGTCTGGTTTGGCGGGCGGAGCGCCCGTTGGAGCATCGTTCTGAATCTGGCGCTTTCCCAACTTCGCCCGTTTCTCTGCAAAATCGTCCAGCTCCCTGATTCGAAACATCATGGCCTCTGCCCATTGTGCTGGCAGAAGTCGGGAGTGATGAACCTCGAAGATCTCCGGGGCTTGATGTTTGCTGAAACTTCCAAAGGGGGGTCCATCCTCGAGCAAGACCTCCGCACCCAGCAACCACGACCCTTTGTCGTAAGAGACTTGATCGATGGCAGCAACCAGAAGACTCAGCCGAGCCTTTGCCTCCGCAATGCGATTCTGTCGAAGAGCATCGAGAGCTCCACAAATAGCCCAAAGGGTGCGGACCGTGCCTTGAATGTTCGGCACTCTCGATCGATGCTCCGCCCATCCTCTGAACGTGGCTGTCATGATACCTAGACCCGGACCAAGTTCCGGGGCACCACAATCGTGCAGCGTGTTTTTCTCCAGAACACCACAGAGCTCTTCTGGGCAATCTCTCATTATTTCCTCAAAGTCTGAAGGACAGCGGCACGTCGTCTGCCGTGTCCGCTGCTGGAAGAAGTAGAGGATACTTCCCCGTGGCCCACTGAATCGTCTAAAGTGTCTTGGAGACTGCGCCGCTTCTCTGTAGGGCTTGTGAGGTGCTCCAGAATGCTGGTGAGCTTTAGCAAGGATGATTGCATGGGGTTTTCGAGCTCCTCGGCGCTCGGCTTCAACTCCCCCCCGGGCTCGGTGGGGGCCTCGCCTTCTTCGTCGCTTTCTCCCAACACATCCAAGCGAGCCGGCTTCCGCAAAGCAGAGGGGCGAGCAACATCCGCTAGATCTGGCTTCTTTCCGGTCAGCATACGTCCCAGCTCCTCCAACTGCACCTGAGAGACTCCTGCCCGGAGGGCTGATTGCACCACATGAGGGTCCAGCCCAGCTATTGGATTCTCTGGCGGAATCTGAGTAGGCGGCTTGAACGTCACCCGGACCTTTGCTGCAGGAGCCGGGCTCTCCGGTCGAGCCTTGGTTTGGGCAAACTGATGTAGGAGAGCCTTCATCTCGACTAGGGCCTCTTTGACACGGGCAATCCGCTTCTCCTGACTGCTCTTCCCAAGATCGGGCCCTCCGGATTCGGCCGACAGGAAACTGAATTTCTCGTCTGCTACTGTCTGAAGAGCTTCGGCCAAAGGAACATGCTCGCCTACCTCCTGTTCGGTGAGGAAGGCGTTCTCTAGCTCGGCCGACTGAACACTCACGAAATCGAGACATTGGATCAGTTCTTCCGACAGGAAACCTATCCAAATCTTGATGTAGGTGCCTTCTATCGGAACTTCTCGATCAACATCTAACACTGAACCGACGGAAACAGAAGCAGCTTTCGAAAAGGATTGAGGCGGTAGCTTTCTTCGGGCTACGGAACGGTGCCAAAAACTGAAAGGTACAGCAGCTAAAATCTTTCCTTGCACATGAGTAATTAGAATGACTGGAACTGGGTCGGGCTCTTCGGCCCCACCGGGTGCAAGCAAACGAATCAAACCGATCTGGTAGAAAGGATCGGCCGTGCCGTCAGGCTGCAAAAGAAACACACTCTCAGGTCGAAAGGGCAGATCACCTGCCTCAGGGCCCTCAGCTGGAATGCCGGGGTTCTCAACAAAATCCTCCATCTAATCTAATCGCTCGGCCAGGCAACGCCGGCCGAGGAGCAAACGGTCTTGCCGTCCGACTTGCTTGGCACTCCAATGAACACCGAACGACCGAATGCACCCCCACGCGATTTGACCAATCGACAGGCTTCAGGGAAAGTTGCAAAAACCTTCACTGGGTTATAAACAACTCCGTTCACCCCCCCTGAAAACCAAATAATGCTGACTTGGCTCAGGCAACTGATCACGTCCTGACGAGCCGGTGATGTTGTTCTGCAAAGCACGGGCAACCCAACGACCGATGGAGTTCAAAATGGCCAACCTCTCGGCATCAACCTCAGACGGAAGCGCTTCACCTTGCACAACAGTCTCGCTAATGGGGCCTGTGGACAAATCGCCGGACGCGGTCGGCCCGGACTGAATTGGCACTGGTTCCCACTGCTCCTCAACCTCAGCCTGCACAACTTCAAACTGAAAAGATTCGAGTCCTGAAACCCGAAGCTCAAGGCGCTCAATCCTGGAAATCAACTCAAGAATAGTACGATCTTGAGTGCTCTGGCTGGACATGCAAGCCCTAGATATCTCTATAAAGCGGTCGAACCGACCGCGTAACGGCAGCGAGCTGCCGCCTGACCAGGTTTGACCACCAATGTCTGACTACCAGCAAAGCCTCGAGAAGGGGGAAGGGGCCCGAGTGCGATACCCACCAAAATTCCAATGGAAACAGATTTGAAGTCAATATCCCAATCCAGGTAATCAACGGTGGGGCAAATACAATCCACAGGTGAAGGGACAGCCGGTTGAAAAGGCGAGTCCACGAGGTCCGAAAAGAAGCGCCAGGCGAACGAAGAGAGTGATCCCCCTGCCAGTCCTAGTGTCAAGGGCCTATGCTCCATACAAGCTTGACCCAAGAAAGCTGCACCATGCCCAAAGTCATGAGGTTCATATAGAGATCTTGAAATGCACGACTTTTCGTAGATTCCTTTCCGGACCCGATCAGGGATCCACCTGATCCAACCACATCTTTGACCTGCTTCTTCTAACATGGAAATGGAAAAGCCATCGCTCAGCTTGGAGTGGTGCGGCGTTCTACTCAAAGGGTGATGCCCAGCGGCAGGTGAAGGAAGCTTTGCGCACCCTGCACGCGGCTCAGGCACGCGAGTCTCACCAAAGCCAAGTCCTGCGTGATCAGACTGGGAAATCGATCGATATTTTGGCTGATGTGGCCAACCAGTTGGGTACTCCAGGGGTGATTAATTATTTGGATGCGATCAGGAGCTGAATTGATGCAAAGAGTCAGACAGGGGGCAGTTTGACGGCAGACCCCCAGGGTCACCCCTTAGAGGGCTCACTCTAATCCAACGCAAAGGCTTCCAAATGACATGACATGGCCGAAAGCCCTCCTCTGCTGTGGTGAAGCTTGATTGGAAGCTGCCCGCCCGCGCACGCAGGTAGCCCCAGTAGACCTCAGCAACTGAAACATCCGAGTCATCTGTGTTCATCACTAGGGGCTAGGGGTCCAACTGCCTCCTGTCACATAGTTCAATTATTTTAAACTACCTTGTAAGGCGCCTGTCGGGGCTCAAAAAAAGGGATGTCTTCTCAAATAAGGGCATCACTTGAAGCTGTCGGCCATCGACGGGGCAACCGAAGGGGAACATTGCTAACGTCCTCGCTCCCAATCATGTGACTTTCTGACTCATGAGTACCCCTGCAAACTAAGATGGACCGTGAAAATGGACCTACCCAGTTTTTCTGCTGGGTTGTAGGGGTTATTAGTTCAGTTGATATTGGGCACCTCGGCTTCATCCCAACAATCTGTCCATCCAGGCCCCTGGGATGCCACCCACAACTGTTTCGACCTCGCAAAGCGCCGGAAGGATGTGCTGTGGGCCGTCCACGGGCGTTGAAGGACCCTCGAACCGACGAGCGCTGGGGGTTTCGAACCAAGCGACGCTCCGTGGAGTCAATTTGGTAAGTTGACTGAAGACCTGGAGGCTGGCAATGAAGCTGGGAGCTGTCCTGCGGTCGGGCCCCGGTCGGGAGCTGTCGCTGTCCTTGCTGCCCAGGTTCGGATCACACGTTTTGGTGCGGCTTCTATCTCATTCTCTGTCCGATCGGGAGATCTGCATTGTGATTCAGTGATGTTGGGGAGGGTAAACACTCCCACTCACTCACAGCTTTTAGTAGAGGAAAATCGTCATCCAAGGGACCATTCTTTGCTTTCCCGTTCGGTCGGATCATTTTGGATCCTCAAGGCATATCATACAGTCCGGATAGGTCAAAAGTGGTCGCTACATGAACTTGCTTCAATCGGATGCCCCAGTGGTCCACGGACCAACGAGCCTTGGACTCTTGCTTGGATGATAGATGTCTGCTTCTCAGTGTGTCTGTGCAGGAAGCGTCCCAGATCTACAATGTCCTTTTTTGGAATAGGCCTGAAATGATGGAAGATTCACGTGTCTATAGCAACCATGCCTCAGAAAATGCAATTGTAATCAACACAGTCAAAAGGTTCCAGTCAACATTTCTGGAATCCATCCTTACTCCATTGCTGCTAGCCATTGATGCGAGGGTGTCACCACATATATAGTAACATAGTTATGTCAGTGCTTGGATTCCCTTGTGCACGGCCTCAACTTGTCTTGATCATTTTGCAGCCAGAGCCTGCAGCTTAGCCTGTCTGGCACCGGAACAGCTTAGTCATGCCCAGTCTATAGTGTCTTGGATTTGCTGTCCAGGAACGTGGAAAACCATCTTCTCTCCCCCAGTTTCGGGAAAAAGGTCATCACCCCAACGCCAACAAAAGGGTTCACAACAGTCAGTTTCTCGGAGGGTCTCATTCAGCTTTCAGTGCTTTTTGCCAGGTGCCCCCCATGGTGCCCAGGTCTCCCTCCGACACTGCGCCGGACGTTCCGCAGGAAGGAACTGCGCCTGGCAGTGAGGAACTTCGAGCCACGACCTCCGGCAATACCACTCATAAAGCCAAGAAGGAAGAGGATGTAGCAATTGAAGACTTCGGGTCCTTGGTGCGGCACGAGTTACCGGAGGAGGAACCTTGGACAGTACCGAACTTTCCATCAGCGAATAAACGCACGATAAACAGTGCGATACGAATAACATATACAGTATCAGTAACAACTGAAGTGCTCAAAAAACTTCCTGTAGCTCCAAACAGCTCCATGTTACGGGGAAGTGAAGATATATATACCTCCAGCTCGTCGCTCCCTCCTAGCTGTCAGAAATACAAGAAGCATCAAACTGGTATACTAAACTTAGTGCATTCAGGTCGCCACATTCTGCAATCTTTTCTTGAACTTGAGCAACACTTGCCGGAACATTCTCTCCCTGCAGCATCTGCGCGAGATTGAAAATCTCCTCAGTCCAACAAGGAAAGCGTCAAGTGTGGACGCCACTGCATGGCATTGGTCGCCTCTTTGGTCACAACATCGCCACGCAGCTCACCACCGACGGACCGTGCAACCCCAGAAGAATCGAACAAATACCGCCCATGAGATGCCAAAAATGCAAGCCCCAAACCATCCAAACCACCAAGCCACAAACCCGCTTGCCTTGAGTGAATTGCATGCCAGGGATGAAACTACCCTCCAAACAAATCGACAAGCTGCATGTATCTCGAGGACTGAGCACAAGCAGTGCAAAGCAGTGTCACTCAAAGGTATGATGGATGGTACCACCTTAGTCTGGAAGATCAATTCACTCTGTAGTCACCCGGTTTCACCAAGCAAAAGCCCGACAACATGAACAGAAATGGCCTTCTGAGGAAGGTTTGATGTTGAGATCCAAGTCCAACTTAAAGAATTGCAAACATCCATGGTAAAGCAAATTAACAGCACCTTGCCTAGTCTTAGATCCGCTTGACTGACTATCATGTCCTGAGCTCCAGTTGGGCACCTTTAAACTTTAAGCTTTCTGACGTCACTGGCTGCTGAACACAGCTTGTTGAATCTTGTTCATACCACAAGCTGAGCTGGTAAGGCGTGTTCCTCCTGACTCCATCCTGATCTCTGTCCGAGTCCAACTTCCAGGACGCGAGACCTGAAAAAACCCCAACAACCAAGCTGGGGGACACGAGACCCGATGACCTCCAGCTCAAACCGGCCAACTAGGCCAGGTGGGTCTCTGGATTCCTCTTTCCATCCTTCTGATGCTGCCAAGAATGAGTTTCTTCAGGATTTTGGCCCAAAGAGGCGGCCCCAAATCCAATCATGTTGGGTAGTGCTCGTTGTCCATTTGGGGCAAAAAAACACTCTCAGCATTTCTAGGCAAAATCAGCGTCTGACGGCCTCTGATGGATCTTTGTATGCTCAAAAGAACAAAACCAGCGTCCCCTAGTCTGGGACCAAGTCATTGCCCCCACCCCCCCCTTCAATCCAATGCAACCTCGGTTTTTCATCTCTGAAACCTTAAAACAAAGGCTCACCGTGACACCCTTCCCTCAGCAGCTGACGTTGCGGGCGTTGTCCACGAGGTATCGCACTGCTTGTTCAGGATGCCCCTCACACTCGCTCTGGCTCTGCACGTGCACCGACTTGCCCAAGCCTGCACCGCTAGTCGATTCGGCAACTTCCAGAGGTTGAAGAACCCTAGTTCGACTATCCTATAGGTACCCCCAGGTGACGGGTCCTAGTTCAGGTCACTTAATCTCTGTTGCTTCTCACCACAACTGTGGGGTATATATGAGTCAGACTGGAAGTTCTGGGTGTCGATGGTACTATCTTCAATGTCGGTGGTGTGCCAGCTACTCTGAATCTGCTGTATGGGCAGCAAAATCTAATGAAGCTCTTATGAAGTGCAGGATCTGTTGTCGCAAGCGCAGGCATCCTCGCGAGACTCTCTTCTTTCCATTCCAAATCCTTCAAAGACAAGTACGGCAAAAAAAACACATCGTGGAAAAAACAAACAGCTTGGGCTGGGCCGCGCGGCTGCGTTTTCTTTTGGAAGCTCCAGGGTCCGCAAACCCTGCTTCCCAGGAATCCCTGGGGCTCGGAGGCACCATGGCACCGTGCGGTACCATGGCACCGTGAACGGCACCACGTCACCTGCCTCGAATGGCCAGCAGTACCAAAGCTGCATGGATCTGTTCGTGGCTTGGCTTGGTCCAAGAAAGAATATCCTGAGGCACGTGGATGGGAAGAGGCCACAATTCACCAACCTTAAGATCACATCAGGACGTCCCAGGCCTATGAAACTCTCCAGTGCTTCATTTCAGCACCATCTTTCATGCATTTTCCCCTGTTTGCCACCGGTTTCCAGTGCTTCACCTCTCTCTCCCATCCAGGGTGGATTCACATGTGGAGTGGTGCAACCGTGGTCTCACCGTGCTTTCCCCAGACGGACCGGCATCGCCCGCCTGCAGTTGATCCCACTGCGCCGGGGTCAGCCGAGTCGTCTCATCGACCTCCGAAGAGCCCACGGGCCCACGACTGCGAGGAGGCTGGTTTGTGTGTCGCCTCATGACATCCTCGTTGATTTCGACCATGAACCCCCAGTCAAGTTTCACTTTTTTGGACCATGACACCCCCAGACATGTTCGAAGGAAGTGC